TTTTTATTTTTATTTTTATTTTTATTTTTATTTTTATTTTTATTTTTATTTTTTTATTTATTTTTATTTTTATTTTTTTATTTATTTTTATTTTTATTTTTTTATTTATTTTTATTTTTTAAAGCTACCGTCCTACTGCAATATTGTTACTCAGAAAAACCAGTCTTTAAGCTTCCCATGCTGACATGATGCAATCAGGGTAACCAGACAACACGATGCATCAAGAACCAGGGTGAGTCAGCCAGGGATATTGTATAACACGTTTGTTTGCCTGTAGTTACAGCAATGTGCAAACAACGAGCCTGGAGGGGAAGCCCAAAGGGCCAGAGATCAAAGGGACCCACCGAAGGGAATATTCCTCCCTACACATGCTTGGACCCCAAAAGACCTTGTGTCCGATGCTCTTGGGAGAAGTTCCCAGCAGTAATGGACTGGCTCTTTCTGCTGTGACCCTCCACCAGTGGCCAACGCAGGAGATGAGGCCTGATGAGGTCCTGAGGTCATGGCACCAATTCCAACAGAAAGAAACTGCCTGTTCTTTTACAAAGAACAACCGCCCTTTTTAATAGAAAGGCCCTTCTTCCAAAAGATGTATGGCACAACAGCATTAGATGGCTAGCTGGTCAACAGCAAGCTCTCCAGACATCCTTATCAGACAAGTTGTAAGAAACAGGGCAAAGAAATGGTCTTCTGTCTAGGTTTAAACAAAAGTTCTTCTGAGGGCCCCTGTCGAGTGAGTCGTTATATGAGTTAGGGTTAGTTATGTATAACTAACATGACTGTTTTGAAGGTTAGGTTTGAATAAAGATCTAAGCACAAAAGGGAAACACATCAACAGGTTTTATCCATCCTGCCTGCCCTGGCTCTCATGCAGTGTATTGCTAAAATCTCACCTGCTGGTGCCTTATCTATGAGCTGTGCACATGTTTAGAGCATTTTTGGAGCAATGGGAACAACAGATCTGCAATTAGGAGGCAGAAGAGTACTTTGGTTTCTAGGCACTGTGTTCAGTCTCTTCACTGGAGAACTTTGGAGCATCTGACGGACTCTACTGAATCTCCTACCAGGCTGGGAGATAGAGAAAAGAATATTATCCTCGTTTTACAGAAAATTAACTTGGGACATGACAATGTCTAGATTAGAGTTACATAAATGATGAAATCTAGCTCCAGACCACAAGTATGWTTTGTTGAGACCACATCAAAATGGCTCAGTGTTCAAAGTACATTGGTGGGAGTGTCGCYGCTCCTAGTAATGATAAAGCTGGGYGCCTTCAGCTCAGCTTTCATGAGCATCTGGCTGCCAACACAGCTCCATCTRAGGACAGGAGGCTGGCATTCCTCAACACTGCTCGCTGCAGCCGCCCCTGATGCTGGACACCAGGAAGGAGAGGCASCTCCCATGAGAAAACCCTCCCGAAAATGTGTCTGAAGGTCATATAATTGCTATGTGGTCTACAAAATTTCCATAGCAAGCTCAGTTTTCTCTGGAATCCAGGTTGGAAAGAGCTGAAGAGAGAGATATAAGGGAGACAAAATAGAGGAAAGGCAAGTAAAAATGCCCTGAAAGGAAAATGGGAGTAGGCAAGGGAGCTATGATTAGAGGTAAAGATGAGAAAGTGAAATGTGATGTGAAAATGGTAGGTATGAGCTCTTTACCCATACCTACTAGTCTGTTTTTGTTGAGCAGTTTTTTTTTTTATTTCGTTTTTCTGTGTTTTGGGAGGTTTTTTGGTTTTTAGGATGTACCTTAATCATATATTTCTGGTTTATTTCATCAGCCATAAAGGCTAAAAGCATATGTATAAGTTAAAAATGCAGTATCTTACCTATCCCCTTGACTTAATGAGCATAGACTGCTCTTCYTCAAGTGCTAAGGCACTTGATAAAAATGAGAGCTCACAGTTTAGCAGCAGCAAGACAGAGCTGTAGATGAAGCTCTGCAGCTCTAAACTGTAATGCTGTAAACTTTATGCTGCTGTAAGGGAACCCTTTACCAGAAAGTGCCTGCTTTTACTTATATTCTTCACTCCCCTTCCTCATTCTCCTCTTAAGTTCTGTTCCCTTCAAGTTGCCAGTTGATGAGTGGTAGTCAACGCTGATGAGCACTTCCACGTGGAATGAAAATGAACGGGAAGGGTGATGGGCAGCAGGGTTGAATCCCTCAGCAATTTCCACTGCTTTGCCAAACAAGTGGCTCCCTGCAGCGCRCTCACTTTCCGTGTTGCCCCGATGACTTATCCAAGTCATGGATGGGAACGGCTGCACGCGGGGGCATCTGCCCAGCTCAAAGAGCATGTCCTGTGTGAACACAGAGCACGGCACCAGTCTCATCTCTGTGTAGTGGTTTGAGGAATCATGGTCACAGCGSTGTCCTAAGCTCTGTGGCACCTTGCAACAGAACTTGAATTGCTTGGAAAATATGGGACAATTCTTCCACTTCCATAGTGAAGTGGGAAACRCTTATGCACAGATATAGTTAATGTCTTACTGACTCAACACGTAAACCACAGCCATGACATTATCCTGTCCCCTTGCCTGGTATMTACCTGTCCAGGAGCTGCCAGGGCCACTGCCGTGCAGGGTAGCAAATTTGCTAGCAGGCAGCTCAAGGACTTGTGCTGGGAGGGTGATGAGGGTGAGGACTAATTATTCACCTCCAGGTGAGAGTGCATGGTGGGAGAGAAGGCAGAAAGGACATCCTTGGAGGGGCAGAAGATATCTGGGGTTGCAAGACATCTGTTTGGATTAAAAAAGGAGGGAAAAAAAAAAAAAAAAAGAAGGGGAAAAACAAGCAGATTCCAGTTTGCTTGGTGTCATTGCTTAAAGTCAGCTGCAGCTGTCCAAAGACAAGCTTAGGAAAATATTTTTCAGACTTTCCTACTTCGAGAGGGCCCCAGGATCTCYGTGGGCCTCTCCCTGGCGCGTTTGCAACACCCTCTGTACGGAGTCCTGCGGCAGCCCTCCCGCAGCCCGGCCCTGCCCGCAGCCCTGCCGCCYGGCCCGCGCTCCCAAGAAAACCCTTCCCGGGCTCCTGGGAGGAGGCGCTGCCGGCCGAGCACAGCCTGGCGCTTGCTCTGGGTGAAGGGGTGGCAGGGCAGGGGGGTTGCTGGGACTGTTCKGAAAGCTGGTTGTGATGGTAGGGAAACGGACCTGGGTAAATTCTGTTGAACCTTGGGAGAAGCTACGTAGACTTTAACATTTCAGCAGGTTCTCATCGTTCTATCCATCCCTAGTAGACTTGGTCCCTTTTCTGTGCAATGTTTGAGATGGGTAAGATCTAGGTATCAAAGACTGATTAAATCTGCCAAGGGAGAGTTAGCTGTAGGGAGGTGCAACATTTCCTAAATATGAAGCTTCTTATGAAAGCAGTGTTGAGAGAAATTAGATTTTGTACACATTTCTAACACTTCACATGTAGTGTTGGTGCTCAGCAGTGAATCCCCATTTGTCAGTGCATCCTTAACTGAACAGGAGCCCGCTGGTGTTCCTGCACCTCCTGCAACTGCTCAGGTGCCTGGGGAGAGCAGGGCCTTGTCAAGTTAGTTCCAGGTTTGCTATAGGTATTAAAACAAATTGCACCTTTCTTAACTATCCCATTTTTAGAATAATCATATTGGTACTTCAAAAAAGCTCAGAAAAGATGCCCTGTTTGCTCAGCCTGTTGGGTGAGGCTGAGCCTTTCTTCGTTGCTGGGGTTATGTTTCAACCCACAACATGGGGATTCCAATGAACGGTGGACAGGGGTCCAGGGAGGGTCAGGCTTGATACGGGTGCCACAGCTTGAAACACAGAGTAAAGCTTTCCAGCTGCACGTCAAAGCCAGGCACGCATGGGGCAAGGTCTGGCTTTTCTGCAGGGCTGGTAACATGAGCATGCACATCACTCACTGCCTTTGAAGCCTGTGAAATCCATAACGGCCCCAAAGTGAACATGTAGCGACTACATTTCAGTTACCAAAGGCTGGTCAAGTACCTGCCTTTATTCTCTCCTGTAACAAAACTCCCATCAACTTCAAAGGCATCAGGATTTACCCCACACTGCAAATGCARTGTCCACTGAATGGTTGATGAAACCCTGGGAAGAGGTATTTTAGCTTCTGAAGGTGTGGACAAAGAGGCAGGATTGAGCTCTGATATTGAGGGGAGCTCCACAGCTTGGATTTGCTCCGAAGCTTCATCCTGATAAGCTAAGGTTGATGTCCCAACCAATAATCTGTCCCAGAACTGCATGGATGCTTTCTGAAAATACCCTGGTATGAATTTCAGTAAGAGTTAGATGGCAACCTTCAGTTCCCACTAGCAGAGTTTTGACCAGAAATAGGGACTCATGGTCTGGCTGCTCAGGGTGTTTCTCAACCCAATCGCTGCCTTCACAAAACTTTCCCAAGTTCTTGGGTAAGTGACCCATGAAGACCAAATGGGAGCTGGACATGAGTCACTGGACTTGAAGTTACGCACACAAAAGCTTTGAGACATGCTATATTAGTCAAAACATCAACTGTTTTCATAGTGTTTATGATATTGGGAACATTTTTGTTCATGAATGTACTTGTTTGCTTAAAGGGAATAGCTGATACTTTGTGACTAAAGAATGTTGTACATGCCTCTTTTTATAAATGAAACACTGCCAGGTTGGAAAGTCTGCCTTGCAATGAACTCACAGATTCRGAAAGATCAGAAAGAATATTTGAGCATCTACTCTGCTTTCTTACATACCACAAACTATTGTTACACCTGTATTAAGATCAGTATCTTCAGTTCCACAGAAATATAATTTATATTAGTCAAAGTCCAGAATGGCATCCAGTCCAATGCCATGGGTGGGTTCTTCCTCATTTTGACTCATAAAGCACGATTGCTTTATGCCTGTTACTGAGTAGGCAGATCAATGAGAGCTTCCCCAGTTATGTTCAGATGTCAGTACTACTGAGGGGCAGGATTTTGGAAAGGGCCATCTCTTGTGGGTGCAGCTGTTTGTCTCAAGTCCTCTGTCTGTGTTTTTCACCCACGGTAAATTGCAGACACAGATGTTGCTGGTTAGGATCTGCCAACCTGTCTGAACTTGTAAAGCAAGTAATTAATTGCTGAACTACCAGGGCTCGCCGTTTATTTGAACTGAGCCTGCACCATCACACCCGCAGAAGCGAAGGCTCGTTTGAGGCTCAGCTGAAAACCAAGCAAACCCAATGGCCTTTTCATCCTCAAAGGAAAAACCTCCACCCAGCCTCAACTTGGGTGAATCCAATGCTGCTGTTGTGGTCCTAGTGGGTGATTTGATCTCTGCTGTATTCAGCCGAGTTACAAAGGAAAGCAGATGCTACGGCTGCATCTGGAGAGCCTTGCAGCACATGTCACCGTTAACCAACGGGTGCTCTTGGAGGTGGGAGAATATCTGCAGTTTCAGATGCCAAAAGGGTCTTCTAGGCAATGGGAGCAAGCTCTCAGGAGAACACATTACTGTTAGGTGATCCAAAGACAGCAGGGAGAGGGAAAATCTGCATTTTCTTGTTGACTGTTGTACCTGATATGCATGAGGGAGAGGGATGTACAAAGCAAAATGTGAGCAAAGGTTTCCTCAACTGTGTGTTGGCGGGGAGGGTTTGACTTTGTGTTGTTCTTGTTGCTAACAACGTCAGATGGGTCTAACTTTCCAGCCTGCTCAGGATGAGACAAACAGCCAAAGAAGCATCAAAGTGAATGGGTGTTTTTTGATCAACGTCGGAGAGAGTTTGTTTTCTTTCTCCACTTGCCCAATGACACACTAACTTGGATGACTGGTCTGTGACAGAGCTGGTTGGAAAATGTTAGTGGAATAATGCAGGAAAAGAGCAAATATTTTTACAAATGGTAGTGACAATATTTTTACCTTGGGTCAATCCACATCAATAGGATTTTGTTTTTTCAGTACAAACAGTTCAAAACTCCCATTGCCAAAATGTACACAAGGGACAAATATGCATGAACACTGGTTATGAAAAGGTGTGTCTGGGATGAATGTACTGTAAAACTGCACCTAGCCTCGTAGCTGGAACATCTGAGTAATTAGCATGTTTCCTCTCCTACTCAGAGGTTCGTGTATATGCTTGCCCTTTGCACGGTTTTTTCTCTTAAGGGAGAGCTGTGAAGGAGGTAGCTTGCAGAAACATTTGTTGGTCCAAGTGCTGTGTACTCATAACCTTGTACTCAGTGGCCATCTTGCAGCCATGTCTAAAGGCAGCTTGGAAAAAAAATGTAGACTGTTAGAATTTAGACAATAAATGATATCCTAATTCAGCGCATTTCCTRGTAGGTACCTCACTAATAAGGATCTGAAGGAAAACTCTCCCAGCATCATCTGGAGGAAGGACATTTACTCTGGAAATGTGCTTCCYGCATTGTCCCTGGTAGCTCCCCAGTGCGCTGGTGAAGCCTCTTCTGCTGCTAACTCATCTTTTGCTTCTCTACCAGATGTGAAAAGTCATCCCTGAGGGCTTGTAGCTAGATAACCTCCTCAAGGGAAACCTTACAAGGAGGCATCTGCCTCTGTAAGGGCCTAAGATGGAAYAAACTTAAATGGCCTGTGATCAGTGGGATGTCCCTGAGGTCATACACACATATAAGGCTCGTTGTCTTCTCCATTAAGAAAATCTAGTAAAATATATACTGTTTGGATTACCATTGTTTGATAAGATAGATTAATATTAGCATAGACCCCAAACCCTGGAAATGATAGTCTCATTAAAAATGTCATGAGAACCTTGACTTTTGAGACACAAAATAGAAATTTCAGTTAGGGAAGAAAGCAGATGTGTTTGTGAAAATTCTACCATAGCAAAGGTGATTGAAATTCTCACTATTTAGAARTATTGATAAGATTTGTTGATAAAGATATAGCTAATGGATGACAAAATACAAAAAAAAATGAGGGGAGAGGGGTTGCATAATTCCTTTGAKCTCTCAAGTAATTCTCTTTTACCTAAACTTAAATTTGAACTATAGCATTATTGCTACATATTTAGCAGTTCTAGTAACTTCTGACTAGCCTGTGATTATAAAATATTTCCATGTAAATAATGCAGGACTTATATTTAAAAGAAACGTGCAGACTCAATGAAGTGCCCTTGATAAACAGTTTGGGATTGCTGATTAATTGGAACTAAAAACAGATGAGAATATTGAACATATGTTCTTATTCAGGCTCCCTGGAGGATTTGTCAGGGAGCTTGGCATACGTTAATCATTGCTTGGAATGGATTTCATAGCTCATCTTGTAGTTTTGCACACACAAAACAATCAATCAATATAAAGAGCATGGAGTCATCTGTCTTTGTTAATTAGAGGTCTCAAATGGTTTTCATAGTAAAGGCTAGTAATTAAGACAGAATTAGAAAGRAAGCACTTAGATGTGGTCTTGCCACCTCAGGGTCTATAAGCAGCGAGAGGAAGAGGGTAGATCTCCCCAAAATCATGAGATACTTTGGGTCTAYGAGGTTTTTGGCACTGGACATATGTTCAAATGCAGTGTTTGCTCCCAGCTGCTGTGAGAGGACAGTGCTCAGGCTGCCTGGTGGACAACTGTCTTACCATAAGGGGTGGCTGTGTTAAGATTTATTGAGACTCCACAGTATAACCCTGGACACCTAAAGCATTTCTTAAAACGCTCTGGCTGATGCTCTGGCATCAGCATTTCAAGGAATATTGGACATAACTCTGAGGAATGTGCTCTGCTTTTGGTTTCATCCATATACCCCTATCAATCACTCACCTTCCTGGGTGCTCCTGGAGTACCTGGTAGACGCTGATCTGGAAGGTCTCGTTATCAAAGCGCTCGCGGATGTAGTCCTTATATATCCTGAACTCGGCCGCAGTCACCGCTTCCCCCTCTGGGATTCTGGAGAGATCAAACCTGAACTCGCGGTAGTGGCAGCGCTGATGGTGAAACTCGCGGTCGTGCTCCACTGGAACAGAAAAGCAGCCCATTAGACACCGGCACCGTCCTCTCTCCAGCCACCAACACACTGCGAGGAGTCCCGCAGAGCGGGCAGGAGTATCTGACTCCACCATCTCACCCTGCTCTTCGGCACCTACGAAATACACGACTCTGTAGGAGTTAACAGAAGTATATACATATTTAGACTCTCTTTGAAGCAGTTTTGCAACTGGCTGGTATGGGGTGTGGATGACCGTTGTCTTTTAATGATCCTGGCAGCTTCATTCTTGACAACTGACTCTGGACTCTTGCCACCAATAACGGCTAAGCTGCTGCGTGAAGGATCCCAAACAGATGGGGCATTTCAGAAGTGCTGCTCCTCAGCCTAATTCTGCTTATGAAAACTAAACGCACACATACACATGTACAAATCCCAGTCCTTGAGCCTCTTTCCATGCTCAAGGTCCACACTCAGAGGCAGCAGGGAGAAGAGAGCTGCTCCATGGGGCTGAAGTATTCCTCAGAAAACATCTCACACGATCAGGAAGTAAATGTTCAAAGAAAATTACTATGAGGTAGTAAGCAAGAAACTTCTTTATTTTATCAAGAGCCTCCAACAGTGACTTTGCAATAAAAAAGGCTGCTAGATTCCTCCGCATTATGTGTTGCAGTGGCCCCTTATGCCAGTGGGTGATAACTGTGCCCGTCACGCCGATATACAACGGGTTGCCTTGTGTAACGCTGCTTGGCGAGGCAGAGGGCTCGTGTGGTGAAGAAACAAAATTGTGAAGACCGTCCTTCCCACCAGCTCCCTCAGCCCTTCCGGCAAAGGGGAGCAGTGTCAGCGCCCCATCCGGCGCACACAAAAGCGGAGCACCCTTCTTGGAAGAAATCCCAAATTAAACAGACAAGTCAGACAAAGGGAAAGGGGGAAACGGAGGTACGAGGGGATGAAGCACCTCRGCTGAGGTCACGCAGCGTGGCCTTGCGAGAGCTGAGGTTTGACGCGGGGGCTTCCCCAACGTCCCTGTCCCGTCCGCTGTCCACTTGACCTCCCTGCAGCTCGAGTGCACAATTCGAGTAGTTAGCTCTGAGGCTTTCTTGGCAAAGAATGTGTGTCTTTCTACAGGCCTGATTCTCTTCTGGCAGCAGTAAATCCATTGTGTAAATCCATTGACTTAAATGGAATTACTCCTGAAAAAAAAAAAAAAGCGGAGTTTTTCAAGCCTGACTCTGTGAAGTGCGATTTAAATTTAGTGCTACAGCGCACTAATGTGCATTAGCGTCCGTGGTTAAGCACACACAAGGCACTYCCTCATGGTGGGGACGGAGCATGGAGAGTCCCCGGGAACCACGGAGCGCCCCGAGGCCCCAGAGCAGGTTTGACGCTGTTTTACTGGCCAAGGCAGCTGGCCAGGACTCTCCTTCATCCTGCACGTTAGTCCCGCTGGGAGTCGGGGCTCTCCACCGGCCACTGTGTGATAGCTGCTCGGGGAAAGAAACACATCAAAGCGCTTGCTAGTAGCTGGGATTCGTCTTGGAGGCGTGTTTTCGGCATTAAACCCCTAAGCTTTCCAAGACGGAGGCAATTGTGTTCAGCAAATACTTTTACAGGTTTCCAGCATCGCGTGCAGCCTTCGGAAGATGCCTTGGTCTCTCGCGGACCCTGAAGTGGGGCATACTGTGCATATTTGTCAGTGCTGGGAAAGGACTTGGCAGGCTAAAACTGYCCTGTGAGTGTTAGCAGTGCTATTAAATGTGCCTCAACCTCTTTCTTCCCAGATATTCCCAGCAGACTAAGATACAAAGAGTATGATTTCAGTCCCAGAGGAATTTGTTCATGCCTAAATTATAGAGGGGAGGAAGAAATATTTCAGTACGGAGCAGCTCCTTTAACCACAGCTACAGAAGAAYGCACTTGTTGGGTGTTTTTAATTATATTATGGATAACATCACCCGCACGGTGTGCTTCAGAGTGCTCTAATGGTAGGATGTACAAGTGTGATTTGCTTCCAGCACCCTGAGATGGATGAGTTTTCAAAGAAAGGTGGATGCTCCTTCTCAGCGTATCCATGTGACGATAGCTCTCTTGGCCCACACCAGCCTCTAKCTGTGCTTTGTGCTCACAGCCTGACAACAAACACATGAAGATAAAACTTTATCAGGTGCTGCTAGGGCCCACAGTGACTTCCATTCTAGAGCCCGAGAAAAAATGTGTCACATTAGTAGGGAAAATTAATGGGTCAGGGCCATAAAATAAAGATCCCCAAAGTCTGAACTTTCCCATGCTTTGCAGATGTTTGGATATAGGGTTTTGGGTTGAGCCATCTTTAGTGTGAAAGCAAACATTCCTGTGGCTATAGTCATTAAGATCATGAAAATATGTGGATATGTAACTGAAGAAAGAATCCCAAGAAACCCTTCAACTCAGTGTTTATTGTTTTTCCCCTTTTTTCTTTGCACTCTGGACCTATCTGCTGACCCAGAAGTAACAAATCCTTTCAGAACTAATTTATGAGAAACACTGACCCTGAATCAACATCTGTTAGATGACTGCAGTAAATCTTATTACATAATTAAACACCAAAATCTATGTTAAAATATCGTTAAGGGTCTGACTTGAACTCATAAAAGTAAGACTCTTCATTATGAAGGCTGAAATCCTATCCTTAATTCATGCTGCTGTGCTTTGGTATTTGTGAACATATGGTACAGTATATATGATCATGCACTTTTTGTAGACCCCAGTAATACCTTAAGCACAACAGCATGAGGCAAGCAGGGGAGTGCTCAAGAAGCTGGAGTTTCCTGGGTTTGATGGGTGTTAGTCAGACCTTTGACAATACTGCAGCAAGGTTGTTTCCAATTAATTACCTGAGGAGTTTGAAAAGAGGAGTGTTTAAAAAAAAAAAAAGAAATAAAAAGGAGGGCAATGGTATTTTAGCTGTTCACTCGAGCCAAGAGAATTGCTACAGCTCTTTGAATATGGTTAGTTTCTCCATTAGGTCTATAAAATATGTGATCCCTATTGACACAATACACCATAATAAGAAACTTTTAGTCATTCTTAAAGTATTAATCTCAGTTGTTCATCAGCTGTTTGAAAAGCACCATTAGAAGTTATCACAGAGTATGAAAGCTTGCTGGATGTAGTTAATGGTCTGTTTGCCCAAATATCTTTGTCCTAGGTTCATGGTTCCTACAAAGCATTGCCACTCAATGGTTTTTGGCTAGTGGTTTTAGTCCAATTCCTACCAGGGAGGCTCCTGTTTTCAAACACTGGAAATTGTAGCTCAGCAAGTGTCACAATTCAAAAGCCTTGGCAAGGCAGCTGCTTGGAGAGGAAGCCAAAGCTTTGGATGTGGCATCAAAGGATGAAAAATGAGAGAGGGAAGAACACCCTTGAAAAATAATTCTGCTATAAATCAGACAGTGTGCCTTCACTGCGGGAAGACTTTGGATTTCTTCCACTGAAAGAAACTACCTAAAGTAAAGGCACCTCTCCATTTCTTGAAGTGGTCTTGTATTTTGGAGGCATAAACTCTGTATACAAATTATGATCTAACTTAACACAGGGGTTCAAAAAAGGGGTTCATAGGGGTGCCTGGCATGCTAACTGTGGCAGTTATCTGTGGCTATGCTAGGTGGTGATCATCAGACACCTCTTTGGCGAAGGGCTTTTTGGTCAAGGAAAGACCAAAAAGATGAGACCCTAGCGCTGTRCCAGGGAGATGGACAGCAGATTCACAAGAAAATAAGTAAAACCAATAAATAGTGCAGAGGACGACTAAAAGGATCAAAACAAGCGCATAGCGTTAGGTTATCAGTAAATTTGCCYCACCTTTGTGGCAAACACACAGGTACGCTTTGAAAGTCTGGCCGCGGCTATCTGTGCACAATCTGAGCCCTGCGCAAACCGCAGTTACCCATCTGATACCGACAGGGCTCCTGATCTCTCTGAAGTCTTTTGGTCTCCCAAACCTGCTCTGTTGTGGCTTTGCAGTGGTGCAAGCTGAGGCAATATGGCATAGCTATGCAACAACAGTGACACTTAAAAGAAAACATGATGGATAAATGTGCTGAGGTGTGAGGGAGCCAAGTATCAGATCCAAAAATATGGGAAAAGTGAAGATAAAATGCCTGAGAATCTATGGTACTTGTTGTAACATGCTCTAAAGTGTACTCTTTTTTATAAGAAGGAAAACTTTAAGCTGTTAAAATGCATAACTTACGGCAATACAGCTGATAGCAGGACCAAAGAGGAGGACTAGGCAGAAAAGCCGTGTTTCATCATTTTTGCATTAAAATATGTGATTACTATAAATTTGGGCTGCCACTATTTTAAGCTCCTTTGTAAATCATTACTGGTAAATTAAAAGCTGATCTGAGCTAATTCTGTACATAGTGCTCAGACCACTGGTTTTGTAAAACAGATTAATGGCGATCAAGGCTCATGCCATGACAAGCAAGATATAAGCATAGCTTATAATACTTACATTATTCCTGTCACACAGGCCAAGAAAACCATAAAATGGCAGCTTTTGTACAAAGCGCAGTAGCAGTTTGTCATTCATTAATGCTCTGTATTAAACAAAGGACCGAGAATATCACAGGAGTAATCTCCTTAGTCTGATTGTGTTACAATAATTATTACAGACTGATAAAGAGCTAATCAAAGCCCCAGGGAAGTCAAGTGAAATATTTACACCAATTTCAAGAGAGTCCACTTCTGTCATGCAAGAAGGTGAGCAAAACACTCACCTATGTATTTTTATGTTCCTATTCTCTAGGGAGAGAGAAAAAACTCTTTTTCACAGAGCAAACTTGATATGAATAGATTCTAGGTTCAGCCCGGTGGACTAAAAACTTCAGTGATCCCAGATTTCTTTTCCCTGGAACATTTAGATGATGCACTTGGAATGTATTTTGAATACTTAAAGTGTAAACATTTACATTCTCCTGTTAATGTTCTTGCTTGATAATATGTTAATTTTTTATAACATACTTTAAGAATAATTATCTCATTTA